CCAATAATGTATAATCACAAGGCTTATACTGAAATAATCGGACACCAGGATTATTAGTTTCTTTTTCTAAAACACCCTTTACTGGTGTAACAGCAGGAGCCACAAACAAAGAATTTACTGGACTTCCTGGAGAAAAAATATGTAAATTTTCTTTTAAATTGAGCTTAACTATATTAAAAATAGGAATAGCTTCCAGGTTAAGAGATTAACAGACATAATAGTCAAATGATGTATGATCATTGATGAATCCTGACTTGAAACAATTATAGAGACACTTTTAAGAAAGCAAAAAACTCATAATATCAATACCAAAGAATTAATGTTGATAATATGATTATATAATTATGGTTCTATCAATTCTCCATATATTTTATAATGAATTCAGGAATACATAGGGCTGACATAAGATCTGATGTTTGATTTCACTTTTCAATACTTCATTTTAAACACTGAAGTGTACATATGCACACATACATGTATGTATGTATTCATGTATGTATGCATATGTATATATATATATATATGCAGTACAGATTTATATAAAAAGCAAATGTAGCAAAATCTTGATAGATGTTGAATATGAATGATAAAATCATGAATATAGATGTTTGTTGTATCATTCCCTCTACTGTTTTATATATTTGAAAATTTTCRTAATAAAAAAYGTTCAAGTCTATCATAGGAACACACACAAAACGTTTTGGACTAGTTCATTCTGTACCTATACCTAAAACCATATACCACTATTTATATACTAAGAATTTGACTAAAGTGTCACAATGTTTGATTATCTGTTATAAAAGTAAATTTTTTTCTGAGTGAAAAACTTTTCTCAAATGCTAGAAAGTAGTCATTTTTACCAAGCTAACTCATTTTAAATGAGAGGTAAACATTTGAAAATTGTTCCCCAATAATGAAAGAAAATGCACATTGATTTTCCTTCGATCTAGCATAAAATCCAAACTCTGATGTTTTACCTCTCAGTGTCCTGCTAGGGCTTCTTTCCTTTCCTTTTCTTTTACTGCTGAATAAGCAAGAATAGCAGTTAAGCACCTACAGGTAAGTCATTGTGTAAATTGTGCTCAGCTTTTTAAATTATGAAAAAGAGAAATTTACCTCAATTTCTTTTTATATGACAAGTTAAAAAAATAACTTGTCATATAAAAAGAAATTAAGGTAAGTAACAACAGTAATATCTTCCTAAACTCAGGTATCTGAAAGAAAATTGGAGTGAGCTAAGCATTTCAGGTATTTTTATGTGGACATCAAGCAAATGATGCTGGCTCTGTGCATCTAATAGGAACTTATAGTGCAGAAATCTAATTACAGGCCTAGTCTTTTGATTTGGACATTCATCATATAACCATTAAAGGTATTCACAAAAGGCCAGTGCTGACAGGTTTTTTTAATCAAAGATTCTGAGTTCCTGAATCAGTAAATTTACTGGATAGTCACTGCTTTACTCCAGTATCTTTACTGATCAGATGCAGCCAGGTACAGTAGTGCATACCTGGAATCCCCATGATTCCAGARGCTGAAACAGAAGGATCACAAAGCCAGCCTCAGCAACTTAATGAGGTCCTAAGCAATTTAGCAAGACCCTGTCTCAAAATAAAAAATAAAAAGGGCTGGGATGTGGCTAAGTGGTTAACCAACCTGAGTTCAACTCCTGGTACCAAATTACAGAAAAAAAAAACTGCAAACAGAATGACACACTACCTTTTTTATCTGAGAGAACCATAAGGCTGTCTTTGTGATTATGTCCATAGAATTGTCCTGCAATGATATTGCTATATCTTCTAAAAATATCTATCAATTTCTCATTGTAGTATTGTCTCATTGCTGTGATACCACTCGAAAAAGGCAGATATCCTACTGGAATATGTGCAATGATGTACACCTGGAAAAAGAAATACATGAAAGGCCTTATGAGACTCTTTCTGCACATTTATCATAACTAAATGATATTTGAATACCCAACATTGAAAGTATATTAATTAAAATTCAGAAATCAAATATACCAACTCTCCTATTTATCACAAAAGAGAGAGAAAATTATGAAACTATTAAGTTCACTACATCTGCACTTGTCTCATTTATACTACACTGTTGATAATATATAGTAACTATGACCTTGATCTTAATTTTTTAAATCTTTAAATTTTAATATCATCCTTAATATCTGTGTCTGGTCAAGTCAATAAATAAACAAATTTAGCCTTCTGTTTATCCATGATTTGAGTCTATGGGATCTACCTTTTCCTTATTTTGCTGAGAACTGTTCAGAGTATCTTCTAGCCATTCAAATTGATTTGCTGGGTCAGTCTTGTTCAGGGTCATGACATTTGGACCATAGTAYAAGTTTGTGTTTAGACTGATGATCCTAAGGTTTGGATTACTTGTGACTTTCTGTGAATAAAAACCACCTGTAAAAACAATTTAAAAAATACATCTTAGAAATGCATATATATCAGGAAGCTTAGACCTGTTTCTCACTCTTTAAATAACAATCAATTTAACAAACATTTCTTGAAAACATGGTATGTGGCAGGCTCAGTGTATACATACTGAGGATACAACAATTGCAGCCAATATTCAGATGAAAAAAATAATTAAATGTTTGGGCATTAATTAATAAGACTGAATTTTATAAAAGAAAGAGTTATATTTCAACCCCTGATTGAATAGGATGGAGGAGTTAAAATGAACAATTGTGAAAAGCTAAAAGAATTTGCAGCCAGAAAACCAGCATTGCAAAGCATCTTGAGCAAAACACTACACGAGGAAGAAATGAAAAACAACAACCAAAACCATCAGTGGGGAGTGCCTCGGTAATGACAGAGGGCGGGGGGAGCTAATCATGGAGAAACAAACTAAATTAAAATAAATAAATCTAAATAATGCGAATATACTGAGATCTTGCTAGAGACTACTAAAAAAAAAAAAAAAAAAAGTCAGATAAACCAGAGGTGTTACAGTCCCCAGTGGAGGAGAGACTTAAAAGTTTGATCCCATTCAGGCCTCTGAACTACTGGGAATCATCCCTCATGGGTCTGCTGCATTGGTGCTTCCAGAGTTAGATAGTAAGAGCTTGGGCGAGCTTTCTTTGCCCACTCTCAAACTTTCAATGACTGATTGCTACTTCTTTAATTTATTTTTCTCTGTAGCCAGAACACTTTATAATTTTTACTATGGTAGTAGCAGGGTTGTTTTTGAAAAGCTGTCCCTTATTTCCTAKTAGTAGAAGATGACAGCAGTCATCTTCTCACTTGGGGCTCTTAGTATGATAAACTTTGAGTTCCTTCAAATCACTTTTGCTTTCACTGAAAGCCTTTTATGATTTTCAACTCTAATCTTTAAGTGGAAGTTACATAATCATGGTTGAAGTGGATATCATTGTACAACTCATATGGCTCTTTCTTAGGACCAGCATTCCACGTCAGCTCTTTTGTGCCTTCCTCTCATTGTGTTGAGCTGAGCTTCTTTATAATCTAGAACATCTCTTTAGGAATCTTGATTATTTTTATGGCTCTTCTTTCAATATACACAAGCTCTCCGTGGGTGTTTCAGGTTTGGGAGGATAGGACTAGATACCGTTCCCCAGATGAATAAGGTCCTGGCCTAATTCTAAGATAACAGGACTCTAAGTCATACATACTGTAATTGGTTGAGCATTACCAAAAACAACAGTAAGAAAATAATGGCAAAAGGTTTAAAGAAAATAGTGAAAGACAGACTTTGAACTGAGAGAAGTCCAGTTGTTAAGTTAATAATTGTCTCAAAAATTTAAAAGACTAAAAGTTAAGTTTCACAGATCACCACTGCAGTGAAGTTGAGAAAACATCAGAGTTTACATCCTTGTGTGTTGGGAGCCACTGGAGAAGGGACCTTCAGACAACACCCAGGAAGTCCTCACCAGGCACTTGCTCTACATGACTTTTCCAAGCACCTCAAGGTCCATGTGAAAAGCTTAGTTATTCTCACTTTGCCAACTGTTAGCATTGTACAATATGCTTGCTGGATAAACGTTAGCATCCTTTCTCTCTTCTCAATCAATTTTCCAATTGAAAACATATACTTATTCACATTCTAATTTGAAGTTCAGCTTTTGTTTCACGTGGAGCATCCTGATTGAGGGTGGAAAAGAAGGGATGGAGTTCCCTATAACATAAACAGGTTTGCATCACATGACAACTTAACTACTCACCATCCTTGGCTCATCCAAGAAAACACTCAAGACTTAATTCTAAACAACATGAATAAAAAAGTAGGTAAAATGGGGATAAATTTTCACTTACCTTTCCTTAAAGTACTAATAGCTTCTTCATCTAGCCATGGTTTCCAGAGGTTGGCCACTGCATTGTACACTTCACTGGTGACTATAGGCAGCTGATCCTGGCCACAAACAATATGATCCACATTGAAACTTCAAATATATTAATTAATTAATTAAGCTTTAAAGGATTAGTTAATTTATATATTACTTGAGTGTTGACTACTGTGTCAGGCATCTGTAGACACAGGCTGAACACTAGATAGGTGATGTCTTCAAGAAATTGATAACTTAGTTGGGGGAGGAGAGCCAAACRTAACCAACCATGAGACATTGTGCTACCACAGAGGTCCTGGGAGCAGAGAAGCAGGGTTAATCAAGTTAGAGAGGAGTGCAAAGAGAGCAATCACACCCAGTTTTGCATGGTGATTTCATCAGGTTGACAAGAAAGGCCACCAAAACAAAAGAAATGGCTCAGAAAAGGACCCAGAAGCACAGAGAGCAGTGCTACAAACAGAGAAAACTCCTGTTTTCATGTGGCCAGGGCCTATAGCATGCACATGGGAGTTGTGTTCATGAAACAGATACTGAAGACAGGTTGGAGCCTGAACATGCAGGGCCTGGTCTAGTATGCTGTGGGAACCAGAAAAACATGATTTAAGACTTTAACAAAGTCCTCTGAATGCTACAACTACTATGAAGGTTCTCAGCTCACTGAATAAAGATTTACAACCATGTTTCTGACTTGAAGAAGTATCTTAATGGTCATTTAAGTTATATCAATATGTTTTGATTTTTTAAAATAATACTTTATAAAATATAAAGCATTTCATCTTCAAGTGTCTTTTTATTATATCAATTTTCTTAAATCATCATAAAGTACCTTTGTTTTCCTGAAATATTATTAATAGTGACATAAACTCTAAGAAGAAAGAATTTTTAAAAGTGCTGAATAAAACATCATAAACCATTTGTGAAATTGGATAATAATTTCGAATGTTTAAAAAAATCTGAAAAACTAGAGCCCTCTTCTTTATTCATATCATTTCCATGAATATACAGCCTAAATAAACCTATATCTTAGAGGAGTCTCTTGTCAACATGAATCAACAGGGGAGTAGAAGAAGGGGATTGAGAGGGAGGGAGGGAGGAGGGATGTGATAAGGGGAAAATAATGGAATAAATCTGACCTAACTTTCCAATGTTCACATAGGAATATACTAGAAAAAACAATTATGTATATCCACAATACTAAAATTGCATATATGTGTGTATATATATATATTTATATTTAGAGTAGAGGAAAGGAAATTGTGGGTAGAAGGAGGGGGAAAGGGATGGTAAGTATTGAGGACTTAATTGGAGCATATTATATTCCATGCATTTATAATTATGTCAAAACACACTCTATTGTTATATGTATGTATATATATATATATATATATGATGAACCAATACAAAAATTGATCAAAATACTTGGTTATTTTTCATGCTAATTCAGGACATGTAATAATCAAATGATTTGTTTTAACTGGAGACAATTTTTCAAAGCATATTTTAAGTTTGTTTAAGAGATCAGGGTCACCTACCTGAGAATTACACACAGCTTCTGCCAAACTACATTCTGAGTTGAAATTGGTAATAACAATAATGATGATATTAATAATAATATAAATCCATGAAGTATTGGACATTGGTTTATTTTGGGATGACTGCTAAAGTATAGAATGATGGTGGATAATCTTAAAATTATAGCCATCCTTCAGTATCCACAGGGGATTGGTTTCAGGATTCCCCTAAGATATTAAAATCTTGAGGATGCTCAAGTCCTATATATAAAATGGAATAGAATTTGCATAAAACCTACACACATCCCCATATATATTTTAAATAATATCCAGACTACTTATAATATTTAATCCAATCTAAATGTCATGTAAATAGCCATTATTCTATGCTGTCCAGTGAATAATGGCAAGAAAAATGTATGTACAYGTTCAGTATAAAAGTATTTCTTTTAAATATTTTCTGAGAATTGGTTTAATCTGAGCATGCAGAGCTATATTTACATAGGACTGACTATATATAAAAATCACTCTAGATTTTTGTATTTTAAATATAAGAAATATGAGCAGACAAACTAGATAATGTATCAAGACAGCTGATAAATTCCCAGGTCTTCCCACCATCCCTCATAGGTCCAATTGTCTCTTGAACTGTGCCACCTTGTCAATCCTATAGGACTTTGACTGCTAACCACAGAGAAAGAAGGCATAATAGGAAGTGATAATCTTGATACCACCAGTCTTGCCAGCATAGGAGTAAATGGGGACCACGATCTGACCGCAACAGAAGGAACCCCTGGGTTGCCCACTGCCTCTGATGTAATGAGTGGGACATGCATCTCTGCATGCATGTTTATGGAGCTATGGTGAAGATTTATGGGATMTTCATGGAGAAATCACAGTTATCAAATTTATTTATTCTTCATATTCTTCAAAATTAGATCCCAGATGTCAGACTTTGGGAAAATGTGTTGAGGGGCTTTCATGTGACATTTGATATTTCTAAAACTGTGAAGTAGAAAGATGGTAGTTTTATAAAAAACTATTTTCAAATATAAAATCATAAGCTAGGATCTGTTGGTGTAGCTCAGTGACAAAGCACATGCTTGGGACCAGAGAGCTCTGAGTTCAACTGCCTCCCTCCCCCCAAAAATAAGCTAGAAAGTGAAAAAAAACAACCAAACAAACTATTTAAGGTATGTGTGCAGCCCAATTTATATTAGTTGTACATATAWTAGGATAAGTTGCATAAGTTAGTATCTGTAACTTTGAAATATTTTAAAATTTGACTTAATGRAAAGACAGAGGTAAAGATAAAATGAAACAATTCTTCAGAGTCAGAAAAAAAATTTCATCCTGTTCCACTCCTCAGTGCTACAAAAACTACCACCTCACTTATGTCCCAGGAAGTAAGCTGCTTTCTTTTCATATGTATCACTAATTCTCAGAAAAACTTTGCAAGGCAAGTATTCCCTCTCCTATTGCAAATGAGTGACCTAGTGATGAGGGATATTATGTGAATTATGCAAGGTCAAGCTCTTAGAAGCAGGGTRCGATAGAGATTTAAATTCTAGTGAATATTATCTGAACTCCCTATTTTCCAGTGTGCCTGTCACCTAAGGCATATAAAAACAATGTTTGTAACTTCAGGCTCCTGCACATTATTTGTCCTCAAGCTCCTATGCTGTGTAGTTTTAACATTCCAATAGTAATAAAAGTTGACCACTGGCTGAGAGGCTGGTTCACAAAGACTCACATACTGTTAGCTCAAGATTGAAGGCCAAAGCCAAGAAGTCACTTGAAAATAAAGTTTGTCCAACAATACAACTTTTCAAAATCACTCTACTCAGTTTAGATAGCTAAATTAATCAAAACTTCCACTTGCTATCCAATGACACAGATGGAAAAGATATTCTAAGTAGAGGGAGAAATGTGGACAAAGTAAATCACATTTAGGAAATGCTGAATGTGTCAGTCTGGCAAGAACAAGGGATATATGAAAGGATGTGGCTCCAAACAGACACTGGACAGGGATAAAAAGATCCAGATCGTGGGATCTGCAACTAAGTGCTTGTGAGCACTCAGAAAAGCAACTCCACATTTCTGGGCCTCAGTTTTCTTTATCTATAAATGGAGAGTTGATCCAGACCAGGGTCAGCACACTTTTCTATAAAGGAAAGGACAGTATATCCACCAGGCTTATGGTTAATATGTTGTCTGTGACAACCATTCTGTTCTGCTATTATAGCACAAAAGCAACCACAGACAATTTTCTAAAAAGAGAGAAAGAATGGAAACATAGTATGTTCCAGTAAAATACATACAATGAACCAAATCTAAATCACAGGCCAGTTTGCCAAGCCCTTAACTAAACAGTAATCTCTGAGACATCTTACATCTACACAAATCTACAATTCTACAATACTCTAACAGGACCTTGTAACCACAAGTGGGTCCCAGCTGTTATGCACAGGTACCTTAACAAATGGCCACACTGAGTGGTGGGGCCAGGGCTACATCAGGCAATAAATAATCTAACATGGTTTCTGTTGTGAATCACATCTTCATTAGATAAAATGGATTTGAACATTAGACCTCCCTTTTTGATTGTTAATAGCATTCTATGTTTTTTGTTTTTAATCACAATCAGAGTATAGATCTCTATATGCCTAATAGAAATTCTGAGAAATACAAATATGTGACAACATTAATCTTCTTTTCTAACTCTGCCATGGGAATGCAAATGAACAAGAAATTATTCCAAAAAATGGAGAAACTAGAGAATATTGTAAAGGAAAACAGGGGTTAATTATCTACAAACCAGATAGATAGAAATTAATTATCTACATACTGGGTAATTTGCTTCTGAAAAACTCACTATTGACATAACTTTCTATGAATTATTTAAAATATTCTTTTAAAGTCCCCAAAGCATTTGTCCTGCTTTCTTTGACGTTTATCACAAAGAATACATTCTGCTTCCATAAAACCCATTCCTGCTCCCTACTCCTAGCTAGCTATTGTCATAATTTTGATACTAGGGATGGGAAAAATTTTCTAAGCATTTCTGGAAATTGATGTCACACTTACCTGTGGCCAGTAGTCATGATTGCCCAGGGCAGGAAAAACTTGGAGATTTGGAAAGAGACTCTGGATGGTCATTGTCATATTAGAGA